CTCTCGCTCTCTCTCTCTCGTCTTCTCTACCCACGTCTTCCTCCCATACACGAAGACCACCACCACCTCCACTGGCTATCGACCAAGCCAACCCCGGCTATAGGGGCTGGCTATGGCACTGCCCTCAGCAGCGCCCTGCACCTCTGGCACAATCGCACGCGCGCGCGCACTTGCCCACACACTAGTGCAGCAGCAGCTCCGCATGCGCTTGCAAGTGCCGAATGTCTGCCCTGGCGCCCGGCCCTGTCCTATATGGAAAGTGGTGGGCGCTTTGCCTTGCCACAACCACATGAGACCAAGTTTCCAGTAGCTTCGGTCTCGGCCAAAGTGCCTGTGCTCAGGCCCATTCAGAGAGTGGCCTGGGACCGAATTGGTTAGGCATGCCCAACCACCCAGGCACGAACATGTGATGCACCCTGCTTTGGCCACGTTGCTAAAATGGCCTGGAAGGCTCACGAATCTTTCCCATTCTCACGTGCAGGGCGGATGTAACCAACTGGAGCGTGGCAACTGTTTGGCGCCGACCAAGATTTGCAAAAATTGACGAGTTCAGGGCGCATTCAGCTTCAGGGGGCCCGCCTTCACTTAGGGCGGGCACGCGTCTGTTACAGGGCCATATGCTGAGGGGTCAAAGTTCCGTCAAACCCTCACACAGTAATCTTTGTCTGATTCTGAAGTTTTTGAACTTCAACGGCAACGCGGGTGTGAGAATTCCTCACGGAATATCCTGCTGTTTTTTTCAGTCAAACGTTTTCATTTGCCCAAACAATTCCAAAAACTTTTTAGGTCGTACTTATACACTGATCGGTGAGAACGGGGGTGGTGCTTGTAGACAATAGGTAGTGTGCATGGTTTGTTCATTCCACATCTTGCTGTTCGTACGAACCTAATAATGTTAAATATATAGCATCCATCCTGTATTAGGTGTCGGCATTCCTTCAACATTCTTTTTCTCTGCTTCCTATCTATTCTGACAATCGTCAATCCAAACGGTCGCTTAATTATCTTCCACTTATCATTCCATACGCCACCCAGTTTATAACCCACCCGTACGTACGCTTTCGCTTTCAGCTGCGGTATTTAGCTTAGTAAGAGAAATTCTTACCATCAGTCGAAAACTGTATAGGTAAGTGATTGTACTTTACCCTTGAGTTTGAGCGACGGTTCCTAATATGTGGTGCATGTTTTTTTAACTTTTTTGCCTACCCTCTGCTTCATTCTTCTTCCAACTGTTACCTTTTTTTTGAAACCCAGTTTTCCTGCTAGGGGGGAATCCTGCTCGGGGGGATGATACGAGCATTCACCCCTCGCAGGTCTTCTGGGATGCTCCGGTCTATTGGTGGGGAGCTTCACCCGCTGGAAATCGGACCCATCGTCTGGCCGTATCTAGATACTGAGTCAGACAATTGATTAGTGTGCAACTCAGCCTCCTTCCAAGTTCCCAGTCATTTTTTGGACCCGCCCATATAGGAATTAGCACATATCGATGCCAGCCAAACTTAGCCAGCCAGCTATATAGGTTTCTCTGTGTGCGTGTATCTTCATCTCCGTGTCCTTGGTTGGCACTGCATCTGGAAGGCCCCTGTGAGCCAGTGTCAGGGTACCAGTGGGACATGGACTTCCATCTGGGAGTGCGGTTATGGCGGAATGAGATGGGAGAAGAACAGTAGTAGTGGTGTTGCCCTCCGAACATTCTTGTATCAATCAGGATTTGAACTCGTAATCTCTTCGTGTGACTTGGGAATTTGTGTTCCATTCATTATTTGAACCCGTAGTCTGTTGTGTCAACGGTAACGTGTGTGTGCAGAAGCCCAGAAGCCCAATTTTGAGCCCTTGTCATTGTAAAGTAAAGAGAGAGAGAGAAAAAAATTATTCCATCTTGCAGGGAGAGAGCAATGGAACTCCTGGCCATAATGGGGAATGGCGCTTCGAAAAAAGCCTTCAGTGCTGAAGTGCTTCGGGCGACCCCCCAAAAAAAGAAACCAAAACTTGAAAAAAGGTTATGTCTTTTGACCTCAGAGTTGAAAAGGAAGTGGACTGATGCCTTTCAGCAGTGAAGGGGTTCTTGATTTTTTTTTTTTTTTTTTTAAGGAGAAAATGCAAGGAACCTGACTGCTCACTCTTACTGGAGTGTTCAATTTGCATGCACATTCGTCATCACCCAGATAGGATAGCTTCACACAAAGTCAAAGTTGAGATGAGATAGGAACCAGATAGCGCAGCTCATATCATCAAATTCACGTTATACAAGAGTATCTCGAGTTCAAAAGTTCAGCGCCAACAAAATGCAAGTCTTCTTCCCTCATTCGTCAGCATAAGACCTGGCTCTGCCAGCGTCACCCTTCAGATCACAAGTATGGCGCAAACAGGTAAGTAATCACCATATCCCACTTCGCAACCTGTCTTCTCTCTCTCGTATCTTCTCTCTCAAGATCCCTGTCGTGGTTCCCTTCTCTCACTATGCATGCACACTCCCTGCCTACGAGAATCTACTCTGAATGCCTCTCACTGATATCCTACTACTAACCCCTCTACCACTTCTACTAACTCAGGCTGGCGCAGCTATGGCTTCCCTGCAGCCAGCGCCCAGCTCATCTCCCTTCTGGCGCAGCTTCTTCTGCCAGCGCCCTTCCCTGCACTATAGCACACAAGTGCCTCAGCACTTCCACGCGTCAATGCCAATGGGAAATCTGCCTGGTGGGAAGGCTGCCTCATCCTTTATAGTGCTGGCCTCCCCTTGCGAGGTCTGAATTCAGCCTGTCTTGGGTCCTGTCCCAGTCCCAGCCTATGTGGAGTGTGTCCCAGTACCCTTTCCTTCAAGGTCTGCTGCTGCTGCGGCCTTCAGGCCTGAATTTTGGACTTAGGGCCTGTATCTAGACTCTCCTTCTGACTTAATTCGTGACTGGGACTTTATCCTTTTGACTTCCTTTGGACGGACACACCTACTGCTCGAACAGACACACATTCTGCACGAACAGACACACATACTGCACGAACAGACACACATACTGCACGTACAGACACATCTCCTGCATGAACAGACAGGACTTGCACACCCCCTGGATGAACAGATGTGACTCCCATATCTGAATATTGCAACTGTTCGTCCAGGGGCACAACTGTGACCTTTGACATTGACTTTTACTTAGTTAGGATGTGACTTTCAACCCAGAGAACATGTCCTTTGATCTGCTTTCACGAGTTGGGGCTCTGGGCAAGTGACCCCTCTATGCTGCATTCGTCCAACAGGGTCTGAATCGGGTAAAGACCCTTTTAAAAAAAAGGAAAAAACTGTGGCCTGCTGTTATGTTGACATCTTAATGCTAACAGCTGGTGTACTCAACCGATTGCGCATGTGAGCATTGTGTTCGTACTACATAGTTATGTTCGATGAGTACGTAACCGTGCTGTCATGTTTCTTTTCTTTCTGTTGTCTGTCGTGCAGTTGCATCTTGAGAATGGACCATCACTGTCGTATCCTTTTGAACAACGCAGGGAATTAATGCGGCTCATAGAACTGCACTTGGTCAAACTTTGTCAAAGTTAATAATACACTTTTTCTTTCTTTCTTTCTTTCTTTCTTTCTTTCTGCCTTTCTTCCTTTCTTTGTTTGATAAGCCCCTCAGATGATGATGGGTGCCAAGCTGCTGGCATCTGCAGCAGCAACAAGACACCAGGCAGAACCAATGGGCAGCAGGCACAGAGGCACCAGGTGCCAGCAGCTGTGAGAGCAGCAGTGGCATCAACAACAAAAGGCAACAAGACACCAGGCAGAACCAATGGGCAGCAGGCACCGAGGCACCAGGTGCCAGCAGCTGTGAGAGCAGCACTGGCATCAGCAACAAAAGGAAGAGGAATACCAGCAGACTCCAGCAGTTGGTAGAAGCAACAATCAACAGCATCGGACAGCAGCAGCTGCAGCAGCAGTGGTAGTTGTTTTCTTAGGTGTTGTCAACGCATGAAATTAAACAAGCCGCTTCTCAATTTATCTCATGTACTATAAAACAAGAAAGATTGAAACCCCACCCGAATGGGTGGGTAATTGGTACATATCATGCATGGTATTCAATTCAAAATGAAAGCTATGCACAATGGTTTTTTATGAGTTTTGCTTTTGGTTGAACCCCAACCGTGTCTCTGATACGCAGCTGAACGGTGTCAGGCGGCCACAACCAGTGGACCGCCTGAAATCAGCGGCTTTGGGACGTAGACCCAAAGGCAAGACCGTGTTGTAATGGTACTCTTGTCTCACCCGACGGGAAAAATTAGGGGTACCCGGAGCTCCCCTAATATTGGGTGTGTCGACTGCTGAGAGTAGCCCTCAAATTAACAAGAGGGGCTACCGCTCCTACTTCGTCGGCTTCTACCGTTTTTTTGCGCCCGCTCTGTGCCTATCCCCAAAGCGGCTGGTCGCGGGATGACAATGTGAGACTACGCTTTGGCGCGGCCCTTTTACATTGCACTATTGGTGCAGGGGAGGAACCTTGGATATCGTTAGTTTTAATATTAAATTAAGAGCAGCAAGGAAGGAAGAGAAAAATGAGATATTCTTTATTTTATTAAATTTCTTTGACATTTAATTTTGATAGG